CCCTGAGCCTCCCCGGATAGAGCAGCAAACCCTCAAGGGGAGAACCAAGCGCCTGCTCTCCTGCATGTGCCTGTCCACTCTGTGGCCTCCCTGCCACAAGCAGAGCTGTCATCAGAGCCAGTGCGGAGTCTCTGCCTGGATGGGTGTCCTCTCAGTTTGCTCCCTGGGGCCATGGGGCCGTCCTAGCTTCGTCTCCCTGGTGGCATATCAGGGAGGACAGATGTCCTGCTTTTGAGTGTCACAGCTCAGTCCGTCGGCCACAGCCTTGGCAGTTTGTGCTTCGCTGGTGTCAAGGCATCTCTGGGGTCTTATGTTGGACAGCCACTTGGCACCACAGTGGCAGATGAGGGAGATGTTTCCTAGTCAGAGACCACCCAACCTCCAGGCTTCCTGTGACCCGGTTGCCTATTGGTTAATAACTAGAAGCTGCAGGAATTTCTCTGCCTCTGGAGGTTGCAGTTTCCTTCTGTTCTCTACCAGCACCAACCCCTCTCTTCCTCTGTCCTGAGCTCCCCAGCCCCTTGGGGTCTGCCCATCTGCCACTGACCTTGGCTCCTCAGGCTGTTTGTAGTGTGAACTGGGGTCCTTCAACCCCTGGGCCAGTTGAGATTGGTATGGCCTTAACCATCACCACAGACATGGAGTTTCTTGAGGTCTTGACCGAGGGACTGAACAGAGTCCTCCTGGTCAGGGGTGGTGGCCGGGAAGTCATCACCATTTACTCCTAACACCTGCTGCCTCGACACACCTGGACGGGGTCAAGACTGTGCTAGCAGCCTATGGCCAGGCTCGGCCCACCGGCATGCCACTGACTGATGGCCATGGCCCTGGCACAGCCCTACCAAGATGCTGCAGTGATTCTGGTCACCCTGCCACACACGGCTGGTGACCACACACGGCTTCCCATAGATGTAACACCCCTATGCTTCTTCCAAGTAGAAGATGCCTAAGGGGGAGTGCCTAGAGCTGTTCTGACAGGAATGGCTCCTTGCGTCTTTGTGGGCAATGGTAGGTATACCCAGGGACTCTGGGGTCAGCTCTTCCCGCTACAGGCAGGGCCTCACCTCCAGATACTAGTGTCCCTTTTCTATGGATGACTGCCCAGTATTTTGTGGCAGTCACATTTCATTTCTACCCTGTCTAGAACACGTGAACCAGCACACAGCGTTCCTTGGGGCTAGAATGTCAGTGAGCTGTTCCGCATTGGCTTCTGCCGCCTTTGTTCCTTTGAGTATCCTTGCTGTGCTTTCTGTATAGTAGACAAGCCGAGGAAGGACTGTCCACTCCTAACCTCCTCATTCTCTGTCCACACTCCTCAGGCATGGCTCAGGGTACCACTGGAAAGTGGGATAGTGTTTACAGGGTAGGCATGGGTCACCATTTGGTGGGTGGTGGCTGGCTGTGTTCCCATCTGAGTGAACATCGTAGGAGCTCCTGCAGAGAGAACCTTTGTTCCGCAGAGCCAGGGCTGTCTGCAGACGGTCTGCTTTCTCTTCTCATGGGAACCCAGCCACTTTATTGCATAAGCACTGAGCTGGAGACCTCAAGCAGGTGACCGCAGAGAGCCGCAGTGACAAGCAAACAGCAGGAACTCTGAGAGTTGTGCACACAGTCCATGACAGCAGGAGCCTTCCAGAGTGTGAGCCGTGCCTGATGTGGTTCAGCATACCGCTTTGCACATATGACATGCCGTCCCAACCCTCACACCCACATCAGCAGCAGCCATGGCTCTGAGTCTTTCTGACTAAGTCCCCCACCGTGGATAACCTTACTTAGTAGCTGGGGCCACCAGCACCTCTGTACTTTTCAAGAACCTGACAGATTTGCACTTTACCTATGTGCACTCTGCTCTGTAGGTCATGGTCTGTTCGAAGACTCTGGGCAACAGCAGCAATCCGTTCCTCTTGTTCCGTATGGCGTATTTATTTATTTAATCCTCCCTGGGAAAGCTTGATAGAGATAGTTTCTGTGTGGATACCCCGTGCTGCCAGGCCCTGGGCCATCTCTGGCTTCCTCTAAGAGAATCAGTCTTGTCCATATTCAGGAAGTTCCCATTAGGGTAGAAGCCAAGTTTGTACCTGTATGGGTTCCTCAGATTTTTGTTAGGCAGCCAGAGGTCAGCTTGCCAGAATAACTGCTGCCCAGCATGTATCCCCATCAGTATAGTGGTTTCCACTCCTGCTCTGACTTGGGTTCAGATTCCTGACCCTAAATGTGCAGAGCAGAGCAGTTGGGACACCACCGCCAGTAGTCAGGAATGCCCCAGTGGCAGGCCTTTCCAGGTCCTAGGTCACTGCTCACAAGAGCCCCTGTCAGAGTGTCTGACCTCCTTTCTTTTGCAAACTCTGTGCTCCTGGTTAACTGTGGCCATTCAAATCAGTTTCATGTTTTCCTTTTTATAGGCTTTTATCTTTGTATGACTTTGTTAGTAGAAGAATAGAGTTCTATGAAATATAAGAGTTTGAAGAACCTCATGTGTCTTACTCACCATAAAATTCAGTGATTGGAGAAGATGTACTTATTCATTCCTTCTCAGAACTGCTTGGACCAGGGCTGACTCAGGGTTGGGGTTGACCCTCCTGCATTGGAGAAGTGCTACAAAACACTAAGGGGGAACTCTCCTGCCAGCTCGTTAGGGTTGATAACGGTAAACTCAATACGGCCATTGTAGGGACTCAACACCGAATTTATCTAAGGATGAGAGCCCCAGAATCATCACAGAATAAGTGGGGCTATAATCCAGAGAATGGGAAACAGGAGGGTTTTCAGTCATTGGAATTCAGAACTATGAAGCCATAGGAATAGCATGGGGCCCCAACAATTGTTAAGTAGGGTTATCTTTGTGACCCAGGACATACCCCACTAACCTGCTCCCTGGCCGTCATCATGGCATTATCCATACCCAGACATCCATGCAGTAGAGCAGTTTGATCACAGAAACAGGAGAGTCTGACACATGTGGCAACATGCACAAACCTAGGAGACCTGCTCAGAGCAGCTGACACTGTTCTCATAGGCCTGGGCTATGCTGGTTCAGATGGCGAAGGCAATGAATGCCAAAGACGTAGCCTCTTTGGGTAGCACTAAAGCCAGCTGATGGTTGCAGGCAGGAGCAGAGTGGCTCTGAGCCCTGTAGATATAGAGCTACCCTAAAGGTTTAGAGGAACAAGGACCCCTACACATGCCTGAATTTGCTAGGAAAGGGTGGTTAGGAGACCTTCATGTGTGAACAGTGCACACCAGCTCAGGGCAGCAGAAGCATAAATCACACTTAAAAGGACATTTGAACAGAACCCAGAGTCAGAAAGTTCATCCTGAAAGTGATGGGCTGCCTGCCGAGAAACGGCATCTTGGCGACACCTTTGTTCTTGATGGTTTTTACTTGGGAGTGTACAAATACCAAGTTGTTCAGTTCTAAGAATACACAGCAGCTACAACCGCCATTTACACCGCCAAGGCTTTTTGTGTCCTTTGCAACAGCCACCCTTTCTGTTTTTCTCTCTTTTTTTTTTTTTTTTTTTTTTTTTTTTTGGTTTTACGAGACAGGGTTTCTCTGTATTGTTTTGGAGGCTGTCGGTCGAGCCTGGCCTCGAACTCACAGAGATCCGCCTGCCTCTGCCTCCCGAGTGCTGGGATTAAAGGCGTGCGCCACCACCGCCCGGCTTCTGTTTTTCTCTTTTTAATGGAAACGTTTTAGTGATTTTTTTTTTACTTTATATACATTGGTGTTCTGCCTGTGTTGAGGGTATTGGGTCCATTGGAGCTGCCATGTGTGTGCTGGGAATTGAACCCCGGTCTTCTGGAAGATCAGCCAGTGCTCTTAACCGCTGAGCCATCTCTCCAGTCCCCCAGCCACCCTTTTCTGTTGGCCAGGTGCTGCCAGCTCCCATGGAGACAGCTTCCTGGCACCCAGCGCAGAGTAGACTAAACATCACAGCTTCTGGCTGTCTCTTGCAACATCGAGGTTTACTTCTAGGCAGTTGAGTCAACCCAGGCCAAGTTACTGCATCTCCCAGACCCACTGTCCTCATCTAACTAGTGACCATGTCTACTAGTGGGTAACTGTTGGAGGACACAGCCATTGGGAGCAGGGAGAGGCAGTCTCACCATAGTCCAGCTTGGTCTTGAAATGTAGCATGCACTGCCACACCTAACTAAATGATCTGGCTTCTTTGTCTTGTTCACAAATGCTTTCCCATCTCTTTAAACCTCATTCCTGCAGCACCGGTACCGAGGCCCCTGCTGTCTAAGGCCTGGTCCCTCAGCTGCTGACTCTTCTGCTTAATGTTCGCACAGTGGCAGATGCTAGGCCCCTGCCGTGAGCTTGTTAGGACTTCTACCTGCCCTGAGTTTTTAAAACGTGAAACCAAAGGTCAGACTCGTCAGAATCTCCCTGCTTCTTAGGTGCTGAGCTGAACCATGGCCCAAGGTATCATCAGGGACATCCTGTGTGATGTCTCAAGCCCGGAAGGACCTCTTAATGCTGCATTCTGAGAGACAAGCTGGGTGGCTGTGATGATTCCTGCCCGACCCCTCTGCCGTGGTGTGGGTGGTGTACCATCTCTCCATCAATGACACGGGGACTTTAGCCATGTTGTAAGGAAATGACTCTAGTCATTTTAGAATTCAGGAGCATGTATGTGACTTCTAGCTGTGAAGTGACCAGCAGCCTTCTGTGAGCCAATCGTCCCAGGTCTCCCTGTGTGTGGGGGGCACAGGTCACAGGAAACGCCACACTCAGATCCTCAGGGATTCTGTAGGACTTAGTGTTTAAGGAGAGAGGATAAGGTGTTGCTTCTCAACCGTCTGTGTAAGCTGTGGCCATGTGGTGGGTATGGTGCCCGGTGTTCCTGTCTGAATGAGCTGGATTCTGGGTTTAGAGTTCTGGTACCTTAGAAGTACTGTGTGCATCAACCAAGATGGCTCTACAGCACTCACCCTTTACAACATGCACATGTCATCTTCAACAGCTACAAGGGTAGGTAGCCTGACCACAGCTCTCAGAAAAGCCTGTTTTAATGTAAGGTATTTAATACAGAATGTACAATTTCTTATGCTAGAAGGCATAATGCCACCTGCACAAACTCAACAGGTAAAAAGTCCCCTTCAGTGTCCAGTCTCAGTGGAGCCAAAAGACCAGGGCTTATTGAGGTTCCCACACCCTTGTAGAAGGGACACTTAAGTGTCACTTGGCTATGATACAAGAATGAGCACAGCCTAGGTGATGACCTCCAGCATGGTACTGATCCATCCCACCCAGGATGCTGGAAGCCCTGGAGACCAAGCCTCATGCTGCCTGCTGCATATCACCCAGCCTGCCCCCTGCACATTTGCCGATACTCCAACCTCTTTGTTTTGCTTTGCCTGACATCATGGCACACTGAAGGACCTCTTCCCAAGCCCAAGCTGACCTGACAACAAATAAACCTCATGGAAAGCTTTACCATTTCCATTCACTCCTGGCCTTGTGCCAGGAACAATCCGGGGTACCCAAAGTTGAAAGAACCACACAGATATGAAGAATGTCTAGGCACGGTCCCTCGAACATCCCAGGACCACACCGCAGCAAAAGTAAGAGCAGATGTTTTTCTGTCCTCGTGTGGGCTTCTGGATCACACGGGAGCACCCGTTCGTGGGAATTATCAGCTGCGTCAAATGTTCTGGTACCCAGATGGCATGGAGAAGGAAGGTTTTGTCCATGATACCCAGCCTGGTGCCATCTCCCCGGTGCCCACTTGACATCTGCGGCTGGGTATCGGGCCAGGGAATGCTGTACTCTCTACTGGGCACACGTCAGCACCTGCTGTGTGTCCCTGAGGGCGTGTGGGCAGAGTACTTGTTTGGGTGCTAGGATGGGTGGAAGTGGTGGTGGTGATGGTGGTGGTGGTGTTCATGGTGATGGTGGTGTTCGTGCCTCTGGACCACAGGCACCACGTAGCCCTCAGGCCCCAGCATGGGAGGCAGGTCCCGTACCACTTCATGTTCCACCATGGTAGGCTGACCATGTCCCTTGAGTGGTGAATGGCCTTCTCTGCCCTTCTGCCGGTACCGCTTGTGACCATAAGGCTGCGGTGGGGGCTGTGGTGGGGGCTGTGGGAGGTGGTGGCCGTCCTGAGCGCCCTGGGGCAGTGGGATGGCCTGTAGGCAATAGCTGAGCGTTTTCCCTGGCTTGCTGCTGCCTGGTGTCCCAAGAGGTTTTCCTGGACCCTTGGGAGACCTGAGGAACTGCTTCTCCTGCCCTTTGAGCCGGGGCTGCACAGCCAGGGCCCGCATAGCAGGCTCGTTAGTTGGTACGACGTGGTCAGCCAGGACCTGGGATCTGCGGTGATGTATAGCGTGGGCATCCGACTCCTGTGATCGGGATCTGCTTGGGATATGCGTGGCCCTGCCATGATGTTCTTGCCTGGCCTGCTCAGGTGGTGACCCTGGGGACAAGACAGTGTGGCTTGGGATGCATGTCATATCTGCACTATGGGTTTTTGCAACAAAGGTGACCTGCTAGCTGGGTCACAACTCAGATGGCCAAATGTCCCAAGCTCAGTCCCTGATTATGTCTTACATTCCAGATGGGAGCCAGTCCCTCACTAAGGACCCTGGACGTCACTATATCACTCCTTAAAGGGGCCACCCTGGAAACTTGCTGATTAGCTCAGCTGGCCCTTTTATCCCTGTTGTGGGTCCTATTAGTGGAGATTCTGCTAGCCTAGTCAGAGCCCTGGCTAGGACATGAGGGGGGCATCAGAAAGTTGTATCATTCAGGAACACTCCAGTGAAGGACCAGAATGAATTCACTAATGTACCCATCCCCCTTCCCTCTCACCACCACACACAGAAGGAAGGAGAGAGGACCTGGTTACAGATTCATAAAATGCCTACGCCATCGAGGTCGACCCTGTGCTGTGGCCTCAATGTGGGGGGCCAGCTGTGATCATAAAGTCCTTGGATCCCCATCTGCCTCCTCGGGTGTCCCTGTCATCAGGGTTGAGGCTCTAGTACAAAGCACACGGGGCTAGCCCTTCCCAGGTGAGGGTCACCTTCAACCAGGGACCTCTAGTCCAGGTTGTCTGGAGCAGACTGGATGAACTTATCAGAGATACTATCACAATGTCCTGTGTGGACCCTCAGGGATGCAGAGTGGAAATGGGGTGCTAGTGGGGACTCTGCCTCCAGCTTTCAGAGTACTAGCCAGGCTGAAGTTCATGAATCTCTAAAGGCTACAAGGGCACAAAATCAGGAAGGAAGGTTCAGTAGAGTAGGACAAGTGTCTACAATGCTGGCTGTCCACCTCCTCTACACAAGCTGGTAATCCTGGCCTGTCATGCCAGCTCCCCCAGCTGGAAGGCTCCTGAACCTTTTATATTTTCCCTAAGCCAGAACAGGTCTTATACACATACACTTGCTTTCCAGGTGGCAGGAGGTTAAGATGGGAGTCCACACCTAGGCAGAGGATGGTGGGGTGCCCAAGGAGGATGGTATGCAATTCCAGAACCCCTGCCTACCTGGACCTTTAGGGAGGAATCTATACTCAGAGGGTAGGTACAAGGTGGGGGTTCTCCAGTACCTACCAGGACCAAACTTAGATGTGTAGTTCTCGATGCCAGCGAGGTCTAGGTAGTGGTTTCTACGCTCTGTATTCTCATCCACACAGTAGGGTACTCGCACAGGGCAGAGCTGGGACTCAGCATTGGGTTTCCTGTGTGGAGTAGAGAGAATAGGTAGTCCTGAGCATTTACTCATGGCTAGAACTTCAAACATATGACGGGGGTTCCTGCAGAGGCAGGGACTTTGACTAGCATCCACTGCCTAGACAAGGCAGAAGGAAGGCAGTTGAGCAATGTATGTTATCCAGAGAACTGAGGTCCACAGCTCATCATGGCAGCCTGTCAGGACCCACCACAGGTCTCACGAGGTTTGAGTGACCTCAAACGTTGGCATGTTCTCTGGTCACCTAACTGGGGCCACAATGGTCCCCGTTGCCTACTTTTGCACAGGCATGGTGCTCAGCCCCACCTGGGTACTATCAGCCTTCACAGCACACAGGGCCTACCTCTTTCAGCACCCTCCCTGACAGGACAAAGGGAGGCAGACCTGCAGGATGCAACCAGCTAGCCCCACACCTCACCTGCTGTAGGCAGACAGCCTTCTGTCAGCCACTCGGGGATCCTCCGTGAGCTCACTCTCTGTTCTGCCACGAGTGGGCTCCCGGTCTGAAAGAAAGGTGTTACACTCTGCCTCACTTGAGCATCCATTGATTCACGCCTCATTCATTCATTCACTGCCTTGCGATTCAGTCATTCACTCACCCCTACTCCAGTGCTCATCTATGCTTTCACTCAAGCATTCTTCTGCCTGTCCCTCACCCACTCGTTCTGTCTTGTTCTTGTGTTGATTTTTTGAGACAGAGTCATGCTATAACCAATGCTGGCCATGGACTTTTAACCCCGTTGCATCTCTAGTGCTTAGATTGGAGCCCTAGAGCCACTCTCTGTTAATGAATTACTTTTGCTCATCCATCTACTCACTAAGCAAACAGCTTTGTCTCCTGCCAGGTACCAGGTCCTGCCTGGGACATTGTGGAAACAAATTGTTAACTGCACGTGGTTGGGGCGCATGAGCAATGCTGATATGGAGGGGTTAGGTGGTGGAGAGGTACATGCTACAGGGAAGAGCACTGTGGAACATAAATTAGGTGGCTGTAGGAGGGGCCTGCCCATCTTAGGGGTGGAGCTCATGAAGTGGCACCATTTGAGCAGGAAGGCTCCTGGCATAAACCCCTCACCTTGACCAGTGGGAGAACATTCCTTCTTCTTGCTGGAGGGCTCAGGACTCACAGTTAGCTTCACTCGGAGGGTCTTGCTGCTGCCCGAGGCGTGATTGACAGAGGCGTCAACAACCTCATAGATTGTGTGCATCAGGCTGGACATGTCCTAGGACCAATGTGACGGACTTGAAGAGACATTTCTCCCTTACCAAGCATGTATTCACACCCTAGCCACAGCAGGCACCTCTGGCCCACCTATTCCTCATCAGAGACTGCCTTATTTTATGCCCAGAATTGCCCCCAGGATGTCATGTATAGCTTAAAGGCAGTCCTGCTGTCTGCCACATCTCGTTTGCCTTCCAAACATTAGATAAACGAGCAGATAAGCTTTTCAGCATCAATGTCACATGGCTGATACTGATACTTCTCTGCCCTCCTGGACACAGCTCAAGCTGTCTACTGACCCAGACTGGTTTCAGATCTCAAGAGGCCACACTCCTGACCTGAGCCCCCACCCTATGGGTGGTCTGGCACATGTGTGCACCTTACCTCTCTGGTGACTTTCCCACTGTTGTCAAAGTCATAGAGTGTGAATGTCCACTCTTGGCGGTTGTCTTCTTCCACTGAGACATCACACTGGAGGGCCTGTAGGCGACAAGAGTCATCTGGGACTCGGGACTGGGAGGGCCCCCAGCTGTGGTTCTTGCTAGTTTCCAGCCAGGACAAGGAAGCTTAGGGCAGTTGGCCTGCAACCCTCAATCCCTGTCCTTGCCAGCTCCACCCACCCCCTCCTAGTGATGTGCTGATGCCATGCCTCATGACTCAGTTTCCTTCTGTCCGTGTGCATGCAAACACTCAGAATCACTTTGAGTAGGAGGAATTAGAACCAAGTGGGGTGGGAGACCCCGCTGTCCAGTAGTGTTGGATACCCATTTCATATGGAGACCCATCTACCCAGTATGTCCAAGTTCACGTCAACACCATGCAACCTTCCAGAATAGCACATTTTAGTCTTGCTTTAAGGTCTCAGGGAGGCAGAGGAAATCACAGAGTTGGAATGTCCATGGTCCCCACCATGGACACCACCATTCCTCTTGGGCCCTAGGGACCCAGTCATGTAGGTAACTAGAGGACAGAACTTACATCGATGTTCAAGTGCTTCTTGCTGACTCTTAGTGGGCCCTCATGGCTTGCTGCCTTCTCCCCGTCATCCATGCTGAAGAGCTGTCCCTCATGGCCCTCAGACTTCTCAGGGGGCAGCACAACTGAGGGATAAGAGGAGGTGAGAAGAGGCCTCTCTCATGTGGGTAGCACGAGGACAGGGGAAGTGGGTTAACTGTCTCTGCTCTCTTCTGATCTACATGGCCCTGACTGAGCTAAGAGCCTACTTGTAGAATAGGAAAGTAGAGAGGCCTCACCTGGGCTAGCCTCTACCTGGTATACCCTTGCTGCACATGTGTCCATAGTGGTTCTCAGTGAGAAATCTGTCTCCTGTAGGCTGATATTGTACAGAGGGAATGGGAGAAGGGCCTTCAAGATCATAACAGAGTGGTCTCCACTCCAGAGTCCTCTAGGGGAGTGAGTTCCTGTATCACCAGGAAGAAATCTCATTCTCATGGTCATTCTCTAACACCTTCAACCCAGAACCCACTGACAAGGATACGTGCACTGTCTGATGGCCAAGTCTGGTCTCCCCTGACTCCCTGCATGGATGGATAAGGAGCCCTATTCTGGGTTCCCATATTCTCTGGGTCTCAAGCTGTGTCCTCAGGAGAGGGGCCCAGAGTCATTGGTCAGGTGTCTATCCAGGTATAAGCTAAGAGGACTCCCAGTGCTTGACTTCCAGCAGGCAGTGCAGGGAGCCCCTCTGCAATGTGGATCTATAGGCCAGTCCTTTGCACCTACTGGCCTGTAAGAACTCATCACATCTCTGGGTGGGGCCAACTCCACCAATGATGCACACAGATGATAGTGACTCAAGTGGGGGGGGGCGTTCAGACTGCTCTGCCACTCCATGCTGTTGTAATAACTAGTCATGAAGATCACCAGTCCCCAAAGCAGACCTCCCTGCTCAGTCCCAGAACTACATACACAAAGTGAACAAGTGTATGGGGACACTGTGGCTCAACATTTTGCTGCTTCTGTTGACTGATCCAAGGAATCACGGGTGATCGAGGATGCCGCTTACTCAGGAACTAACTGCTCTTGAGACTAGGAACCAACTGGCCCTGGCTCTTGCATGCCAGTGTGGAGGGTTCTGTGATGTGAGCCCTAAGATCAGGGTGAAGTCTGGGAGCATTTGCTGGAGCTGGACTCACCTTCTAGAGAACCCTTGTCCTCCCAGAAAGGCCCCTCCTTAGGGTCCCCATTGGGCAGCTCCTGCAAAAGACCAGGGCAACATGTGACCATGAGGCTCGGCAGAGCAGAGGAAGACAGCAGTAGGAGCTCTGTGAGGCTGAGAGCTGAAGAGACCAGCATCAGACCTTGAGAGGCCTCCCAGTCTGAGCCCACATACACCATCCCTTCCAGCTTCATACAGCAGAATGTGCAAAGATGATGTGCTGGGGTCATTTCCAGAGCTAGGCCTCACTGCCTGCTAGCAAAGCCCACTGTCCAAAGTGAGACTTGGGGTCTCCCTGCAGCTCAGCCCTAACACTGCCAACCCACAAGTCTAAGAATCCTTGAGATCGAGAGCCCTACCAACACTCTGCCCTGACCTTTCCACTGAAGCTGTCGCCATAGCGTGGCATTCGCTGGAGCTGCAGAGAGGCCACTATCTCCTCCAGAGCTGGCTGAGGAGCAGGGATGGCTGCCAAGAAACACCCTCAGCCCACAGCTGATCTCAAGACCAGCTATGGAAAAATGGGAAGGACTTCAAACACATCCTGGCGATGTTTAAGCCTAGAAACGCTGCTGAACAAAAGCTCACATGGTTCTTGTAAATAATCCACAGAAGCAAAGGCTACAAGAAAGGAAATATAAAATGTGGCATGGAAGCCATCTGCAATCAAAGGGCCCTTCGTGGCAGGGGATCTCACAGCACTCAGGGCCCCCAGGAGCATTTCCCATCAGTTTCCTGGGAAGCTGAGCTAAGACCCATTCAACTGGCCAGCTGGCAATGTCCCTAGGGATAACATGGGCCAAAGGATGCCTTTGGTTTGTAGCTGGAGACAGGAGAAAAACAAGTCTCCTCAGTTTTATATCTCATCAAAAAAAAAAAAAAAAACAGTATTCCAGGTACAGTCTTGTCCTGTGAGTGACCACAGGAACCAAGACATACCCCCTGCCCCATTCCTCACTGGTGAATACAGGCTGCCTAGCGCCACCTTGTGGTTCATCCCATCTGCAGGATGCAGAGGACACAGGTCTAATTCAAACCCAGAGTGACAGAGCACATGTAAAAACCTTTGAGAGTGGGAAAAACGTTCTGTCTCTAGCAGCAAACAAGACAATAACCACGAGGAGGCCAAACCTGAATGGACAGGCTGACTGGTCTGAGAATGTGTGGAAGAGGAATACCAGAAACACTCAGCAGCTGGGGACAGAGATGGGAGGCTGGGGACAGAGATGGGAGTAGTATCGTGGGTGCCAGCTGTGCAAGGCTGGTGAGGACAAACCCAGTGTTGGTCTCTGAAAGGAGTAGAAACCAGGACAGGCTCCTTAGGACTACCCCGATGTGCAACGGGGGAAGAGCGAGGAGCCCCACCCTAGAGTATTTTTGGCTGTGCACTAATGGTGGGAAACAGCATTTGAGGAGCCTTCGTGGCAGGAGACCAAAACGGTCGAGGCTGAATGACGAGGACCAGAAGTAGAGGAGACCTCTGTTCACGACTGCATCTCATAAATATCCCCAAAGTCTTTCTCTCTCTCTGGACCTCCCAACGCATGGGAACCATTAGGGATAGGCTGCCATTTAGCTTGTTCTTAGGATGTCATTTAAGGGAGATCATCTTAGTGAGAAAACCTCATAATTCTTAAAAAGTTCCCTTCCTAGCTACACGCAGTAGCATACACCCTTAATCCCAGCATGTGGGAGACAGAGAGGTGGGGATCTCTGAGTTTAGGCCAGCCTGATCTATTTAGCAAGTTCCAGGATACCAGGACTACATTGTGAGACCCTTTCTCAAAGAGGAGGAGGAGGAAGTAGGAGTCCTCATTCATTCACTAATCAAATAACCCACAGACTCAAGGCTCAAAAGATCTGATTTTGCTGGAGTGCAAGGAGTTTGTGAAGTTCTTTGTTGTCCCAGGTGAACATAGGATGAAATCTAGTAGCTTCTAAAAGCCTGACTTGGGGCTTTTTTTTCTTTGAAATCAGAGTAACTTGTAAAGCTTCAGTCTCTGCTTCTGAGGTGTGGAAGCTAGAATCCAAGGACATGGACCTCACAGGCTCAGATTCATCCTGGACAGAGCCATGGGGCTGTGGCCGGCAGGTGGTATGTCTGATTGCAAACCCAGGGGTTCTAGATTGCTGCTGGAAAAAAAACTTTTGCAGGGAAAGCAAAGCTGGCTGATGCCAGGGAGAGGGCCAAGGACTCGAGTCACTGCTAAGTGACAGGAGAAAGAGCAAGTGGAGCAGATGTCAAGGCGGTTGTCTCCTGAGTCACCTGCCTCAGGGAAAGGCCTGCAAAGTGGGGCAGAGGGGAGCACTCCCAAGATTAATATCCCTTCCCCCATGGAACTCCAGGACTTAGTTGCTCCCCGTTAGCTCTTGGTCAGGGAGCTTGAATCCTTCATCTCACCCAGAAATTGGTAGATACAGCACCCCAAGGTAGAGGAGATACAACTGAAAGAGCCTAGAGTTGCCAGTCTGACTCGAACTGTGTACCACGCTTTATGTGTGAGGCTGGAACCGCCAGCATTCATGGATACCTTCCATTTATTTAAAAATAATCATGAGTACCAGGTTTCGGAGCTCTGCATGGGTTATAGGCTTTAAAAGCACGGGTAGGTGGAGAAGCAAGGATAGTGAATTCAGAAAATGAGAGCTGGGGGTTGGGCTGGTGGAAACGTGCTTGCTTGGGATGTGCTGCTCCAGGTACAAAGCCCCGCCCTACAAGGAAAAAAAGAAAACTAGGCTGGTCTCCTGGGACATCCCCGAGGCTACAATAACAGGTCAGGGCTGCTATAATTGACCAGAGCCACACCATGTGGGCAGGGCCACCACAGCAGACTCTGTCAGCATACATCAAACCTCACAACATGAAGGTTCTAAGCACTAAACCCAGGGGTGGCTGGAGAGGCCCTGGATCAAAGAAGAAAATGAAGGTTTGTGGTGATTCTGGCCTCTGCCTGGTGATTTAAGTCAAATCTGTCCTGCTTACATAGAAACGCCCTTTAATCTGAACTGCCTTAGCTAAATAGAAGAGCCAAGGGCTTTAATCACATCATACAAAGCCTGTACCAGACCACTGGCCAGACATGGAGCCCCTTCCCCAGTGCAACCGAGTCCGGATGACTTAGGCTCACAGGCGAGGCTGTCAAAGGCAGACATCACCTACCCCTGTTGTGACAGTCTGGTGACCTCAGGTCTTAGCAGATTCTCTCATCCCCATTCACCGGGTCCCTCCTAAGGAACCTGAGCCACACCCTCTGCCAGACCTTTGGCCTCTGAAGCCATTCATTCCTCTCTGGTCAAATGTCACCTCCTCTTTACACTGTTTCTAGACCCTGAAGCCTGGCCCTGTCCAAGTCATCCTGGATGTCGTGTCCAGGTCAGTATAGACCCTGACTGCCTGTGTATATCCTCAGTGCCTGACCCAGGGGCGCCCCCTCCAGGACTCACCCTACGCTAGGCCCTGCTTTCTGCCCTTACAGCATCACCAGCTCATTGTGCACTCTTTGGTGGGTGCTCTCCTAGCCACTGGGGCCCATGCCACAGTGGAAACAGGACCCATAAATAAGGTGGCAGGCATTACTGTATGCCTGAGATTAACTTGTGTTGGCCTAAGGGGCTGCTTTGCTCTGTTGCTACATTCATGAATAATCCACATCCATCCACATCCTAAAAACACCCATTATTCACACCCAAAATGAGGGGCCCACAGTTCTCACAGCACTGCCCTGTTCCATCATCCCACAGGGTGTTCAGGATGTAAGAGGCCCCAGGCCAACTCAGGTCACAGTCCACAGACATTCCCTATAGTTGCCACTGGGTGGCAGCAGCAAGTGGGGAGGTTTCCCAACAAAACCAGAGTCTTAGTTTCCTAAGTCAGGAGCAACTTGTCCTGCTGTCTGGTGGCACCCACACCTGACTCTGAAAGTGGCTCATGTTCCTGAATATCACCTACTAGAACCTGCAGGGCCTCAGCATCTTCCAAACGCCCATTCATCACCCGCAACTCTCAGTAAGCACAGAGCAGAGGGGTCTCACGATAACCATGTGCTTGCTGGCTGTTCACTGCCTAGACTCAGAAACAGGAGAGGATCCAGGCTCAGGTAGAGCAGGAAGCCAAGCCTCTGGTGGGTGACCAGGAAGTGGCAGCCCCCATGGAACCCTATTCTCTATGACAAAGTGCACATGTGACCTCCAACCAAGTCCACACCTCCCCTTGGCTCACAACCTTTAGGCCCCACCTATCAATTTTAAGGTCAAGGTTATATGTGCAAGGTTATAGGATGAACGGTCGGGCTTTGTCAGTGTCTCAGAGATGGGGGTGAGGTTGTGGGGAGGGACACTGAGAGACAGATATAGTCAGATTAAAAAAAAATAGAGACACAAATGGGGAGGGGAAACAGAAGGTGGGGCCTCTGTCCAGAGCTGTGCCCAACGGGACACATGGTGCCATAGGGCCCCTGGGAAGGCTGTGTGGTCTAGAACACATGGTTACCAAGTACGAGGGTGGGTCTTTGCATGTCTGTTCACTCCAACATTAGCTCCCGACCATCAGAAAAATCACCTAGTTTCTGACAGACCCCAGCAGTCACTCTACCCAGACACAGACGCCTCCAGAAACATGACAGAAGCCACCAGGATGACCTTTGGGGACGCTTTGAAGTATCAGTGCCGGCCACTCTGTAAGGCTGGGGCTGGGGCTTGAGCCCAGGCTAAGAATCGGCTGCTGGTGGCGAGACAGAGCTGTAGGACCTATGTGACATTCACACCGTGTTTGTGGGGTCAGACAGGAGCTGGAGGAGCACAAGAGCAGCCGGTAGTGCCCTCAAGTGTGTGCTGCAAGCCCCTGAAGTCACGCAGGGGAGCTAAGGGAGCATCTGGGCTCCTGCTTGGAGGCTGCCCATGTACTGCCTGTGGGATTAATGTGTGCACCCCCTCAGGTACCTCATCCATGGGTCAGACTACGCTTGGAGAGTCACAAAGAGATGTGATGCCCTGAAGCAGGGGTTGTAGCCAGGGCGAGGGTCAAGAGGGAAATGAAGAG